CAATAAATAAATACATAAATAAATAACATATTTCAGTATATAAATTTTTATGTAAGTTTATATGGGGAATACCCCATAATAAAGACATTAGATTAAGGGCAATCTAGAAAAAATACTTTCAGTTATTATCAGAAAGGGCTAATGCTCTTAAAAGAAAAAAAAAACCTTCATGTCAATAAAAAAATACTCCAGCCTGGTAGAAAAATGATATAAAGCGACAGAGAAACAAAAAAATACAAATGTATCTTAAACAAATGAAAAGGTAAAATTTTAAAATATAACAAGATACACATTATTTTCCTAACAGACTGGCAAAACTATTTGATAACACACTATCTTGTTGCAGGCAGAGAAACAACCACTCTCATACACTGCCAAGTTTGCACCTTTATGGAGAGGAATTTGACAATAGCTCTTAAATATGTATACCTCTCTACCCAACAATGTTATTCTAGAAATTTATTCCAAATATAGCCACCTATATGCCTGGAAAATATATGCAAGGGCACTCACTACAAAATTATTTGTAATAACAGAAGGTTGGACATATCCCAAAAGCACACAAATAGAAAACTTGCTGAATAAGCTATGATACATTTAAATAAAGGAGTTTTGGGAAGTAAGTACAAGGAACATGATAGTTTTAGATGTACTGCATGAAAAGACTCAAAGATAACAGGATTAAGAACACAAAGCAAGGCTCAAAACTTCAAACAAAGTAGTCAACTTTTGGGTTGATAATATGTTTATCATTAACACATAGTGTTATCACTGAGAGGTTACTAACAGAAAAACTAGTAACCTTGTTGCCTCTGGGGAACATGTTCACAGCTATTCAAAAACTAATTTAAAAAATTTATGTAGCAGAGAGAGCTAAAGAAAGCCAGGGAGTTAGAAATTAGAGGCAGTCACTTAAGAAAACAGAAAAATTTCCAAGAGAGACAGGTAATCCAGAAGCCATAGCAGGAGAGAGATTTTCTAACTGTGGGGCAAAGTGGAGCTAGTAATGAGAAGTAAATTGTAAGGCAGATTTGAAGTCAGGCAGTTTCCAGGGAGTACTGGGAATGGTCAAGATATGCATGATAACCAAGGAAGAAGAGATTCATTCCTAATATTGCAAATTTGAGGAACAAACTTTTTTTTTATATTCACAAGATGACATGTCTAATTAGGTGTGGTAATGCATGCCTGTAATTTTAGCACTCTGGGAGGCTGAGGCAGGAAGATGGCAAGTTTGAGCCCAGCCTGGAAACTTAGCAAGGCCAAGTCTCAAAATAAAAAATTTAAAAAGGACTGGAGACATAAATGAGTGTGAAGGCCCTGGGTTTAATCCCCAGTAGTGTGCTCTCATGCATACACACACACACACACACACACACACACATACACCAAGACATACCTATGTGATCTGTGTAGCTTATCCTAAATAAATGCTTAGTCCTCCCACCTGCAATCATAGAAGATGTCAAAAGAAGGAAAAACTCAATCGTCAGTCAATCATTGCTCAGGTTGTACCTCACATCTTTCTCCTAAGAGTTCAAAGGTGCCATCATGTATCTACAACACGTACACTGTAAAAAATACAAGTGGTAGAAAATTGGGGGAAATGAGGTCAAGTCTCAAGATGAATCATTTGCAGAAATAGGTCCACTAAGCATCATGATCTAAAAAAAATATTGGGGCCATTTTAAAGGCAAACAACTAAGAGTGTCACCTTTGCTGCTAAGCATGTGTGTGTGCCTATGTTTGCACATACATGAATGCATATGTAGAAACATGTACAAATGTACACACACATACACTCAAGTATTATATAACTTGGGCTCAGAGAAAGCTCTGCCAACATCCTTAAACTAGTTATGCATAATAATCAGTTTATAACAATAAAACAGTGAAGGTGACCACAAGACTGTTATAAAGGAACTCACACGTCATGTAACTTAGAATTTTTAGTTTGAGATCAAGTGAGAAAGAACAAACTTTTTAAAAATTACAAGCCAAATATGCTTGTAACTGCACCCACTACAAGGATTTAATTCAAACCTCAAACATCACCATACTGAAAGAGGAAACAAAAAGCTAATAACATGCATTGACATTTACATAAAATTAGTATGTAAAGTGAGAGATAGGAGCCTAATGATGAATGCGAAGCAATGGTTTGCATTTTAACAGACTAAGCAAAATGTAATTGACAAAGAAGCAAATCTATGAGTTTTCAGCTATTTAAATACTAAATGCAGCTGCATACTAATTGCCAGTGTTATAAATTAGGGAAAAAAATCTGTTTAAAATGAAAATCCACACACTGTACTGAATTTACCACTCATTCAATCAGAAAAAAGGTTAATTTCTTCCAAAAATGTAATATTTAAATATCAGAATATTTGATCTGCAATTAGTTTATATTGATTGGAGAAAATGTATATGACAGCAAAAGATTAATCTTTCTGTGAACAGCATCTTTCATTCCTAGAATAAGAATAAAAACATTTGTTTACAAAAAGTAGCTAATACAATCCCATTTCATTTAAATACCATTAAAAGAAATAGGAATAACTTATGGTTTGAAGTTAACTTTCCTATCTGCCATTCTACTATATCAAAGAAAACTTCACAGTATTAAACCAAACATTAGACTATCTTTTAAAAGGGTTGAATCCATTGCACTTATAATCTTAGTGGAAATTATTAATATCATCATTCCTTTCTGTGTGACTCTGAGAAGATCACTGGACTACACTGCTCTCACTTTTCTCATGCCAATACAGTATAAGGATGGCAACAGCACATAACTCTTAGGATTATTGTGGGAAACACATGTATCCCTATACTCAAGGGACTCCCACCAGTGCCTGGCACATGCTCAGTAACTGGGAACCATTATTATTGTCTCCAATCAAAGCAGTAATATCCCAGCAGGCATTATAGTGTGGCAAAAGACAGGATCAGAAAAGATGGTGGCAAGCATGCCATGATTTTTCTGGTCCCTAGATAAGAGGGAGTGCTCTCATCAGCCACTTCCTATACTCTGTTTCCTTAGAAGACAGGAATCAAAGGAATATCCCTAACTAGTTTAGTAAATATCAGTTGTCTGTAGGAAACTGAAGAACTCCCTCCTTGATAGATGCTGCACAAGTGACTCTAGAACAGAATGAAGTGTCAACTTCCCCCAGCTGCCTTGGGAAGTGCTTTGAGATCTCAGCACATTTCCACACAATACCACCCTTCCACTGGGTGACTCATGCATCTGACTTGGGTTTGATTTTTGTCAAGATCCCTCAGAATAGACCACCACATGTTTGGTTTTTTTTATCCTTGTATTTTCCAAGGTCATGCAAAAGAGAGGGAACAAAAATCAAAGCTTATATAATAAGACTTCATGCTCTTTCTTCCTTTTTAGTTTACTGCAAGTCTCAAACTCTGAATAGAAGGAAAAAGGCCAAGTTTATAAGCATTTTCTAGGGTAACTCATTGATAATATGTACATTCCATCCAAATAATCACCAAGCCCAGGCTCCTCCATACCCATTTAAGTCTAGTCACACTGTAACAGGACTAGTATTCCTGCCAAGGGACAAAGGGAAGGAAAGAGGGAGACCCTTGAATTACATACATATTCTGGGTCCAAAGAAGCTAAGAGAGCTCTGCCAGCATGCAGTCAGAGAACAGCAACTCCAAACTCTAAGAGGACTGAAAGCAATGCCTCTTGCTATCTGCACAAAGAGTAGGGGAAAGGAGGATTGTGTGACATCCCTCCAGGACCCAAGTATACAAGAGTGCCTGAGCAGATACTGTGTGAGTAAAACTGAACTCAAGGCAACATCAACTTCTTCCGAGACTGGATCTGGCTTTCCTTGTCCATGTTCCTTTATTCTTTCTACTTCATCGAGGCCTTGGAGACTTTATTCTCAGAAATACCTCCAAAAGGTATTCCTTATACAACCTTCCCTTATATCTTATCTTAATACAGTTACTTCACTCCAAATCATCTTAATTTCATTATTATTTCTAAGGCAGGGAGAGGCTTTATTCGTTGTTTAAACAGAGTCCATTCTTAGGCAAGCACAATCTAAAGTAAGCAACCTCTTCTGCTTATACAAGACGCCAGGCCTTACTTGTGAATCTACATAGTTTCATATCACATTCAATATCTAAAATAGATCATTACTATTAACATAAATTGGACTTAAATATAATCTGAACAGAGTAACTTCTTCAGATTCTCAAATAGCATAGAATGACAAAAATTATTTAAATTTAAAAGGAAGCATCATTGGGTATGGTGGTACACATCTGTAACCCCAGTACTCTGGAAGCCCAAGGATCACAAGTTTGAGCCCAGCCTGGCAACTTAGCAAGACGCTATCTCAAAACAAAAAAGTGACTGGGATATAACTCAGTGCCAAGGCACTTGCTTCAATTCCCAGTACTACCAGAAAACAAAACAAAACAAAAAGACAGGAAAATATCACGACAAAAAGTTGTCAGCAACTCTCATTTTTGGTCCACTGGTCACCACTAAGCTATCACATGATCTTAGGTATGACAGTTGAAATTTCCTGGTCTCCAGTCTCCAGTGATAAAATTAATGGCTTTGATAGCTATTGAAGATTCCTCTCAACTCTAAAATTTTATGATTCATTAGTCATTTTCAGTTCAAGTACTTTTGGACATTGTGATAGCAAAAGTTCAATTTGCATCTAAAAATGAATGTGAACTATGCAATTGAAGATATAAAAATGAACTTTTAAGATTAATGTAGCATGGGTATAAGAAAGAAAATAGAAAATCTTGTAGAATTAGACACTTTTTCCCTTCCACCCTTTATAATAGGCCACCTGACCTAATAATATTAATTTTCTTTTTCTCATTCACACTATAATACAGCAAAACTCAGACACCTGGAACAAGAAGGATCTTAGCCATGAGGCCAGTCGCCGCAACCTAGGAGGGCAATGGAAATATGAGAATGGAAGCCGTGGTTTTCTGTGCCTCACCTTCCACCAGTTGGTCCAGGCTGGAAATCTTCCTAAGCCCATCAATGGTGTAGATTGTTCTCACTCCCTGGGGTAAATTCACATTATCCGACAGAGTTCGGGTCAAATCAGCCAGCAGGGCCTCAAAAGATCGGAAGCGGTCTGGGGAGATGGCATACACAATCCCTTTGAAGTATCGATCTCCATTTCGATAGAAGCGAACTTTCTTGGCCTTCTTCTCGGAGCTGAGGGTCTGCAGTGTGCGCGTGCGGTAGAAGCTGCAGTGGGCACTGTGCGTGGGGCTGGGCAGGCCATTCACCCGCGACCCCCTGCTGTACCTCTGCGCCTTGTCGCGCTCATCAAAGTGCTCCAGCTCCATGTCTCTGCCGAAGGACATGATGGGCTGCAAGTGACACCTACAGGAACCCAGAGACAAAAGACACATAGCCCAAGGTTATTTGAAGATCATGGTTTGAAGCTTTCTGCTTGGCAGCAACTGGGTAGAAATATTGCTATAATCAAGCTGATCTATTTAATGTGAGTTATCGAGTGGGAGAGAAAGAGGAGGAGGACAAGGAGTAAATGGGAGAGGCAGATGCTGGCGGAAATAGCATATTACTCAATCACAGTTTTGTTAGAAACAGCTCCTACAGATTCAGTGCCTACCACCTATTAGCGGGTAGTCATAACACTCTTTCAAAGTAGTGTCCCCGCTTACAGATGGAGAAGCAGAAGCATAGAAAGATTTCTCCAAGTAATACAGTTGAGAAATGCTTGAGCCAGTAACTCCCTTCCATGTTTGCCTAATTCCAAAGTTCATGGCTTCCTACAGGGCAATGTGCTGCTAATCCTGGTAGCAGAGAGAAAATAAGCTTTCTTATCATACAGCTCAAGTCAAGCAGTATCATACAGTAAAGTCAAGAGTAGAATGAGGGCAGGCAGCATTTAACAGCCAGACAGTGAAAGTTTTACACAGCATGTGCTCCTTGTGGCCAGATGGAGAGCAAATTAAATCAATCCGTAGGTTCTACCAACTTAAGGAAGAAGTTTTTTAAAAAATGACATTTTTTAAAAAATGACAAAAGAAAGATCAGGAGAAAGAGGAGGAACAGGATGGGGACAATGAAGAAGATAAAGGAAAAAATTTACTTCTTTGGCTAGCTTTGCCTTTCCTTCCACTTAAGCTTCTCTCAAACTTTGTGGTTGAGGAAATCAAGGCTTCAATCTGTTGATCCAGATGTGACCACATCCTAGATGAGTGTCCTTGAGAAATCTACTTGATCGACCTCTTCAAGCCTCAAATTCTTCAATTACAAATGGAAGTGAGAATCATACCTATGTCACCACTAATACTATTAAATAAGTCAAAGCATATGAAGCACTCAGGGTAGTTTCTGGCATGTGGCATGTACTAATGTTTTTTATTAATAAACTTTGCTTTCTGTTCCTGACCCTGGCACAAAAATAATTTATAGGTACAGAATCTTCCCCTTCTGGCAAGGGAGGCACCTGCAGAATCCTAATCTCCATCAGTACCCAGTGACTGGGACACCTGCACCTCCACAGTCCTCATTTCATTTTCCTTGTCCCAAACTTTGATGAGCAGAGTTTAAGGTCTTGTTATCAGCACACTGCCTATGCGATCAGTCACCATTGCTTAGGGGTTCGTTGAAAAAAGTTGTCCTTTGTAAGTGTATCCATGTTTTAACGGGGTAATCTAGAAGGTGAAAAGATCTCAGCATTCAAAGGAAATTTTTTAATGACAAAATTTCAGGCCCAATAAAGTAGAATGTAAAGGCAATGGAAAATTTGAGGCAAGACTCTAACAAATACTTCCCAAATGCCACCACATAAAGACTGCTGTTTTGAAAAACAGCCAAATGTCACCAAATGTACTACTAACTCTCCTAATATTTACTTGACCACCTGTAAACTGACCTCTGATCCAGAATGTGTAGAAATTTTATGTATCAGTTGAAAAATAAACTTATTTTGAAAATTATAACAAAAAATTCCATGCTTAGAAACATGGCTAGAGATCCAGTACTCCTGAAATGAATAAAAGAAAATAATATTTATGGAACATCTAAGATATTCTTGATAGTTGTCATCAACACTCAGTTATATAATATACTAAAAAACTCATCTAAACCTCACATGAATCCAACAATTTCATTAATACTACCAAGACTAAGGATGGGGATTTATCCAGGATTTCAACTATGTCACTGAGGGAGCTAGGATTTAGAACCTAGATTTACTGATTCCAAAGTTGAGTGCTCTAGGTTCTCTGCCCTCGTAAGACTGGGCCCTGGTCAGTACGTTAAGCGTTTTTTTTTTTTTTAAGCCCTCACTCCTACCTAGCTCAGTGACCTCAGGCAGACCACCCTGCCCAAGGCCTACATCTGCACAAAGAGGAAGTAGTAGCTACCAGGCTAATAACACTTTCATGCATCCATGATTCTAACGCCAACCCCACTGAGAAACCTGGAGAGAGTATACAGTAGGATTTAAACCTGGAATGATTATGAGTGTATTTTTTTCTCTAAGTACTTATGAAAACTACCTCATACATCTTAGTACTGGTACCTAAGCATAGTCTAATTTTGCATTGTTTTAAAAAAGCCATACCAGCTTTGACTTTGTTTCACTGATTTTGAAGTTAGATAACTTTAAAACAAGTACCACTTGATATCCAATCCTGTATTAGTTGTGTAACAGAAGTAATATTTTTGCACATGATGTTGGTAACAGCCCCCACCTTGTTCTTGTTTTTTTCAAAGTGAGCCCTTGTCTTCCAAAAAGTGTGAGTGCCTTGTGGATGGGGTAGGGGAAGCTCAAGCCCACTCACTAAGCTCTTCAAAAACTTCATACGTGATAAATGACTTTTAAGGGGAATTTTCTTTTTAAAGGCAGTGTTCTTTCTTCAACCCTAGGGGTTTTCTCCCAAACTGATACACACTAAAAGAAAACTAGCAGGGATGGAGTAAAGGATAGCACAGTTGTGATACCAGACAGAGTATACAAACATTTCCAAGGGGTATTTGCAACTCACTGTTGGCAAAAGCCAAGTAATTTGGCAAATGTTTGAATTGTCTAGAGGGACCAGGCCTTTAAGAGCAAGAACCCCAAAAGGAAAGGGCATCAGGGTGGAAGGGAGGAGGAAGAAAAGAAGGAAAGGAAGGAGAATTTTAAAAAGAGAAAAGTTAAATTGGTGTAATGCCACTGGCTTATAACTGCAGCTGTTTGGAGGCTGAAGCAGGAGGACTTATTAAGCCTAGGAATTCAAGATCAGACCAGACAATATAATCAGCTCATCTCAAAATAATAAATAAATAAATAAATAAATGGTAGGAAGTTTACTTTGTTTTATTTTATTTGCATTTTTCCTCAAACTGGATCATGTGTTCTCCCAAGGCAGGGACCACATCTTTTACTTCCCTTCACTGAGCCTGTCCAAAGGCAGGCAATGATGCTGCCAACAAAGCAAAACCACACTCAAAGTGAAGTCACCGTCGAGACCACAGCTACCACTAAATGAATGTCAAAACCCACTACACACCCAGGGTTCTGGTGATTAACTGTGGCATCCAAAGAGGTGCTCTTTGCATTGCCTCACCGGCTCAGCTTTCAACCGCCTTAGTCACACATGTGAACCAGGAGCTCCTGAAGAAGCTGCACACATCTTATCTGGGAAACCTGCTGGGACACAGAGCTCCACATCCACAGACTATGATGGCTAAGGGCTGAGGTCGCATGCACCCTGGCACCAAGGGTATCCACAGCGACTTGGCCACAGAGACCACAGACACTAGCGGGGAAGGCAGCAAATCTTCTCATCAGAGATTTTCCTATAAATACTGGCCATATCAAGAAATTGACATCCTTGATTATTCTTTGTGGGATTTCTCACCATTTTGAGGAATCTCTGTGTTCATCATCCTCTAGATGAGCACAGAGTTTCAAAAATTTTCAAACACACACACACACACACACACACACACACACACACACCCCAAGAAAGCAGCTGGAACAAACACTATCATAGCTAAACAGAACAGATGCTGGACACAGAAGTCCCACAGCGTATTTTAGCAGTGGGTTTAGGATTCAAGGGGATGGACAGGCACAGAGTAAAAGGCACACACATAACTTCCAAGTGCATGCACCACCATGGATGTAGAAATCATCTGTGTGTGCATCTTTCATAATTTTCCTACATATGACCTCTCAGCATCCCTTCTGTCCTCCATTCATGTGACACTTCATACTTAAAACGCTGCCCTACTTTCCTCTCCCAGTGAAAGCCGATATATTTAGGAATAGTCATGACACTTATTCACGAACACTCTGCAGTGGGCAGGCTATGCGTGTGCACTGTATCCTGGACACACACTCACAGGTGCGGCAGAGAGAAAGCCAGTTTGAATGAAATCTTTCACTGCTCTCTCGTGCCCACAAGCACCTCCTAGCCAGATCCAGCAGCAGTTCCACTCAAAGCTGGTTTTCAAAAGCAGTCTCTTTTTTGGGGGGCGATGGGGGGCTGTGCATGTGCTCTCACTAGGAGTAAAATGCCATTTCCTTTCCACATGCCTTTAGCGCTGCAGGTACTAATGTGTACATGAGGCGTCTGGCTGTCCCCAGAGGAACTTGAGACCCTGAAAATGTGCTTGCAGCAGCCACTACCACATGCGGACTGGCTCCATCCTCAAGCACACACCATCTTCCTGGGGACACGGAAAGCACACACACAATAAAAGGCCTGGCCCAGCCACTCCTTCCAGGCGCAGACTTGGTCCTGGCTGTGCAGCCAGTTCTGACAATGACATGCACCTCTCCCAGCTCTTCGCCTTCTCTCTGTCTCCAGGAGCAGCCTGGCTAAGAGCTTTTGGGGGAGAGGGTGCTCTCGCCTGACTTCTCCTTTAAGGCCCCTAGGCACCAGACAAAAGAGGCAGGTGCCAGCAGCGGCGGGGCCTCCCACAAGGAACGTCCCTGGTCGGGGCCAGGATGGCCGCCCAGGAAGGGCAGCCGCCTTTCGAGGAACGGCGGGCGG